ATGTATGTATTTTAAAGTAAAGAATAATTGAATAATTGCATCAATTAAATATAAGTACAAATTATAGATATAAAGAGTTCCTTCAAAAAGAATAGATTATTGTTAACATAATTCTACCAATATCTGAAAGTTTTTATCAAGTCAAAATGAGTGTAATTGGTTTTGAAAAATCTTGAATGATTTCTGACTTACATTCCTACAAGGGTCACTTTAAAAATGTTTTGTCACCTCAAACCTATGAAGAAGTCCCAGTTCTAGATATGGCAGTCTCATCCTAAAATATCTAGTCTTGATCATTACTTCTTTGGTTTCCATTACCAGTCTTCAATCCATGGAATATAAAGATGCATCTGATATATTTAGCATCCAAGCAGGTGTGTTCTTCCAGTACATACCTGAAATATTCAGTATCAGTCAAGTGCTTTAAGTTGTCTTTTCTAATTAAGCAGGATTGTGTGAGCAGATTCTTCCCTGTAGAAAGAACCTCCTCAAAACAGCCACCTTTGCAATAGTTAGGCTGTGTAATATTGCAACACTTTTTATTTTTATGCCTTTTTATAATTCCCAGTTGCCATTCATTTAGATTCAAGTCTTGAGGATTTAATATGAATTTATATCTGGGGAGTTCTGAAGATGGTAAAGGAACACTTTTTTTTTTTCCTCCAGACTTGCTTTAGTTATCTTTTTTACAGAATTTTGTAACTTATTTCATTTTATACAGACATTGAGCATCAGTCTTTTATAACATCCTAAAATATTTGCTACCAGCTAGAACTTAATTCATATAAATATATGTCCTTTATGAAGTACATTTATATCATTTATTTGAAAAAAAAACCCGCAAAATATCTCTTCTAATAACAACTTCTTTGTATTAAAAGAAGCAATTAAACATTTGCTCTCTATTTATCTGTAAAATCATGCTGTTTATTTATTCACATTATCCATTTGGTATTAATCAATTAATCATTCTCCATTTGGTATAAAAAACAAATGAGGTTTTATCAGAGCTAAAATTTTAGTGACATAGTCAATTTGAAATTCCCCACAGTGCATAGGTTTGCCAATCTTGATTTTTCATTTCCCACTATTAGTCATAGTTAATTTTTAGCTTCCTTGGTTAATTTCATTTTCTGAGAATATTAGCAAACCCATCCAATATGGAGGATGGATTTGTTTTCTTTATATACCAACCGTTTCCATTCTTTGATTCTATTAAGTCATCATTCACTAATCATTTGTATCATGAGCCATATACCAGGGAGACAAAGAATTTGATGCATCTTTTTAATCCTTAACCTTCTTTCTTCTGCTTCTCCCATCTTCCTTCTTCTCTTTCTTTTACTCTTCTACTTTCTTTGACTATCTTATTCTGTTCAGCCAGCTTGAACTGAAACACACTGAAAATGAACTTTCAGTTCTCTATCAATATCTAATACCTGTATATTACAGATACACAAGTATAAACACAGAATAGTAACAACAAACATTTATAATCAATTATCAATGGAAATTAAGGAACTCATGACATGTTTTTGTCTGTGTCCAGTATGTAAGAGGTAGTCAATAAGTGGTTGTTGTGGTTATGTCAACCTCTTCAAATTTCCAAAACATTATGTTTACTTCTTCCTCCTTGTCTATTCTATCAAAGGAAATGAAGTTGTTAACCTGCTGTTTCCTTAATACAAAACTGCACTGATTATTTCCAAGACATTCTGTTCTGAATGGATAAAATTTTGTTTGGCAATTAACTAGGGAGTCTTTCCTGAGTCTAGTGTGAGTTGATGGTATTAATAGCTCACTGTACCACTAAGTTGGGGTTCTAAAAAACATATTTCCTAATATTTGGTATCTTCTATTTTTCACAGATTATGAAAAATAATATCTAGTGAGTGACTTTAAAATGAGATTTCTAGTTCTCATAATTCACATCAACAATTTCCCCCTATTTGAATGCCTGTATGTGTTTTCAGTATTCTTCGAAGAATTTTCTTTGTATTGTAATTTGGCTTGGGGCTACTCTGCTTTTGGTGGTTTCTAGTTAACTGGTCAGACTGAACATGATCAATCGATGGCCTGTTTCACAGTTTCAGAGACCCTATTACTATTTATGAGATCAAAGGAAAAATACAAGAAAGAGCTAGTGGAGAGTTATTTTTTTTCCTATTTCCGCCACATTTTTCTCATTTAGGTGGTGAATTTTGCTTTCAAGCTGGAAACTCTAATACTCATTATAGAAATAAATAAGCAGCAATTCATTTTTACTTCTTGAAATACAAAATGCTGCCATTTCATTTCTAAAATCTCTCTATAAAATGTGTTATGAAATTCTGAATTCCAGTGCTATTTTTTCACATCTACATTTACTTATTCTAATTAGAAATGTTTATAATACTATAAGGGTTCAGAGAAATCATCTAAGTCTTTTATCTTAAAGAAATATTTTAGGCATACAAATAATTTACATAGTAGTAGTATAGTCATATGTGTTCAGGATTCACCTTGAGAAATAAAGCTCTGTAGATTCAAGAGGAGCAACCCTGGTTACCTTATCAATTCCATTAATCCAAACCCCGATCCTTCCCAGGGGCAATCGCTCCCCTGAATTTGAGGTTTATAGTTCTCATGCATGTTGATACTTTTTTGTTGTATAGGAATGTGATTGAAATTGATTGATATAATTATTCTGCATATTTTCAAACTTTATATATACATGGTATCATCCCACAAACGTCTTTCTGCAGCATTCTTCTTTTATTGTCCACATGATATTTTTGAAATTTATCTATACTAACTCAAATAGCCGTGATGCTTTCATTTTTCTCCCTGCTGCTTCTATTATTTCAACATGTGAATATTTTATGAATTCCTTGTCTACTTGTTTATCCAGAGGTATTTAGATCACTTCTATTTCTTTGCTCTTTCAAGTAATTTTTCAATGGGTATTTCTAGGACTGGGAAGACTATATTTTAGGATATGAGAATCTTCAAGTCTTTCTAAATTGCTTTCTAAAGACTTTGTACTTTTAACTGTCACATTCTCCATGGTTTCTTCACATCCTCATCAACATCTGGTATTGCTAGATTTGTAACATTTTGCCAATTTCATGTCTATGAAATGAGATTTCAGCATTTTGCCCTGTATTTCTCTAATAACTAGGGAGAATAAGTGCCTTTCAAGTGGTTATTAGACAATAAAAATTCTCTTCTGCCAACCAATTGATCATCTCCTCAGCTCATTTTCCCTGTCCTGTCTTTTAAATAGATTTATTAGAAACCTTTAAGTACTTTGGATACTAATCTTTCTTTAGTTATATGCATTGTAAATATCTCCTCTCATTCTATAGATTGATTTTTAATATATGTTTTATTTTAATACATCAAATTTAACATTTTTCCTGTATGAATTTGGTTTTTCTGTCTTGTTTACTAAACTATTCTCTTCCCATCGACCCCAAATTATAAAGTTATAAAATTTTTCACTGTATCTTTAGGCCCTTTAAATACATATATGTGACATGAAGTTAAAATCTACTATAACCATTTTTTTCACATGCATAGTCTGTTTTCTGAATAACTAATCTGTCTTCACTGCTCTATAATGCCACATGTTATTTATCAAGTTTCCAATAATGCATGTATATTTCTAGGCTTTCTATTCTGTTCTTTTGGACAAATTTCTCTCTCTGAACCAAAGCTACATTGCCTTAATTACTGTCATTTTGCATTAAGCCTTAATAGTTCATATGGAAACTCCATGAACCTTGTTCTTGGGAGAATATTGATAATTTTTTACCATTTGCTATTGCAAAAACATTTTAGAATTGACTTTTCAAGTTTCATGAAAAGCTGTAGAGGGATTTTAATAATGATTACATTAGTATTATAGATTAATTTACCATTTTGAGTCCTCCATCAAGGATCATGCAGAGTTGTTGATTTCTTTTGAATTTTAATAGATAAATTAACCATAGGCCAAAAGGTGACTTCTCAAAGTCACATAGCCAATTAATAGAAAAACCAGTGGTAAAAGGAAAGTCTCATGACTCTTTAACAGTTCATACACTAAAAGGCTTAATTATTTAGTCAGTTAAGAAAGACTTTCCAGTTTTTGCAGCTACAGAACCCATCAGCATGAAAGTGAATTGAACTTTTCTATTTTACTAGGCCCTTGATAATCAAAGCGTGCTCAGAGGGCTTGTTAGAAATGCAGAAACTTGGCCTATTCTTGGTCCCACAGAATTAGAGTCTTAAGGGTAGGCACTGTTGGTGAAAGTGTGTAATACACTGCTTAGCAACAGAGTCCTGAAATTCATGGCATTGATTCTTTTTCTTTGAAGCCTGTCAAAAATCCTAGTGGTAATCTTGAGGTCACTGAATTCTAAAGGATTCAGTTAAGCAACAGGAAAACCTATAGAGTGGAATTTAGGTCTTGTCCTTTGACCACAAGCTCACAAAAGTCATTGGCTCCTTTTCTGAATGAACATCAAAGGCCCAAAATAAGAAAAGATCTAAAAATGTATATCCATAATCATATTCCTTTAAAAAAAAGTTAAGGATTTTTCTAAATTCAATCTATCTCAGGAAGGCTGAGGCTTTATTGATAACTTTAGTTATTAAGAAAACAAATATATTTGCTTTGAAATCACTGACCTGCCACAAAGTGTCATTTTAGCTATTAAATGCCATTGGAGAAATGTTTGAATATAGAGGAGATGGAAGCACAAGAGTCTCAATCTTTAAGCATAAAACAATGGAGAAAGGTCAGATGATTTATTCAAGCAGTCACACGCTATTCATGTAAATCTTGGTTCAGTCTTTTATTTTATTTTATTATTATTATTTTTTTTAACTACTACAGCGTCTAGTTATCTATGGGGGTGGGAATAAAACGGTGAGGAGAGGGGTGAGAAAAAGAAAAAACTAAGATCCCTGCAATATCGCCTAGAGCCACTAGGGGTATCTTTGTACCATTTTTCATTCTGCACCGATTTGGAGTAGAAACCTATATTAGGGGAAAACCAGGGTCCTCGGCATTTTTTGCGAGCAGTGCACCCAGAATCCAAAAAGATTTTTTTAAAAAAGAAAGAAAGAAACCACAGTGTTTTCGGTCACCCTCACAGGGCTATGAAATCGTTCTACTGGACATCGGCTTTGGGAATTCATTTTTGAGGTCAATTTCCAATCGAGATAAATCTATTGGATTAGTAGGATTATCTGATTGCAGCTGAAAGAAGTAACGTTGGTTTGATCATTTGTATTTCTTGCCTGATGGTCGGATTTACATGGAGGTGGCTTTGGGTGCCCAGGATTCTGGATCGTGGTTGCATTTGGAAAGAAAAAAGGATCAATCGACACGTTTTGGAAGTGTCCGTGGGTGAATAAAAAGGAGGGGTGGGGGAGGCCCGCAAAACTGGGGTTGCGGCTGCTTAAAGAAAAAAAGAAAAAGAAGAAGAAGAAGCATCTTGAATCCTGAAACAAGAATTATCGGGTGCTCGAGATTCCAAAAAAAAAAAAAAAAAAAGCGTCTAAAACTGGTAAATACTTTGACCATTTCGGCTTGAATTTGACGGCGAAGTGTTGTAGAAACTGTCTCCTTGAATTATTGGAAGGGGACCGGGGGAAGATGAGGGGGCTCCCTCTGTGGATTTGTCTGGCTGAGGGTAAGTTTGTGGCTCTTTTATTGGGAGGGGGCTGCCTGGGTTGGTGTGCCACGCGCGGAAGGTGATGCGGACGCGATGCCTGTGAAATGGGGCGAGCAGGGGAGATGTAAAGCCACCTCGCGCATCTCCGGGGGATCGCTAGGGAGCTACCTAGATGGAGCTTGAAAACCTTGTTTGGTGGCGTCTGTGGGGAAGCCAAGCAGTCCTCCAAGCTCTCAACTTTGCATTGAAAAATCTCTCAGTTGGGAAATGCCTCCTGGATCCGGTGCTTTCTCCCAGTGATACTTTAAGGGAGAGGAGGCGGCGATGCTTTGGAAAACCTGCGGGTGGAGAGGGGAAAACCAGAGTAGAAATCTCTGCCGCTTTGGCTGCGGTTTCAGTGACTGTCGCGGCTTCCAGGGGCATTTTGCAGGGGTGGGGGTGGATTGGTCCTATTCATGATATGTCCTTCCTCCTTTTCTTTCTCCCTACTCCTTCTTTCCTCCCCCTCTTTACCAGACACTAAAGGGTTACAGGGTCACTGCATTGGATAGAGACAGTAGAAGTGGGTGACTGGCCACACACGTCTTGTAATTCACTTGCACGACTTTCCATAATACAGTCCGTGGTAACTTTCTTCGAGTTGGAGGAGCCCTAGAGGTCTTTGCAGCCTTTCTGCCCAGGGCCCAGGCAGGCGAGTGCGCCAGGCAGCCGGCTGCATTTCTGATGCATCCCTGCCCTGCCTGCCTTGCCACTTACTGGCTTTTCTTTCCGACTGAGCGGTGCGCGCGCGTTTCTGGATATTTTCTTGCAGCTGAATTGAGGGAATTTTTTTTCTTTAATTTTTTTTTCTTAATTTGAAGCTCTCAAGGAAAGCTCGTTTTTATTTGCAGAGGAAATCAATTTCAACAGCTATAATTAAAACTAATCACTCAAATGAGTGAATATTAATCGACTTAGGAAACTAAAAGTTGCTTCGAAATCTGAAAAAGCATATTACCATCCACCAATTTTGGAGTCCACGTAGCTTCAGAACTATTGTATATAAAGAACTGATTTATTTTAGAGACATATATAGTGTATGTAGATGTGTTAAATAGATTAATGAACCCCCCATTTTATATCCTTTGACCCTTTAGCATCATTATTATACTTGGGCTTTTTAAAAATATATTTAAGGTCAATTCTGAAAATTTTAAACCATCAGGAATTCAAATGCACTGGAATAAAATGAAGATAAATAATTGTTAAGCATAAAATTCTATACTTTGTATGTTTTAGCCTTTTGAAGAATAACATAGTGTTTTTCCAGAGGTTTCTGTTTACAGATTATGAAATGTATTCAGACACCTTTATGATTGTAGCCTCGAAGTCTCTCCATGATGAGTAAACTCATGAAAAGGCAACTCTTCAATGTCATCTGAAGCACATTCATCCTCCAGCACTTATTTCAGGAATTCCAGATATATCAGACATTCTGGCTTTCAAAGATGAATCTCACCAAACTTTCCTCCTGAAGTGTGTGTGTGTGTGTGTGTGTGTGTGTGTGTGTGTTTAAACCAAATTCTGAAGCAAGCACCTGGAATTTGCATTTTCAGGATGAAATAGCAAAATATAAAACTTTTGTCTCCCAGGAATTCTAAAGGGGAGAAGTTAGCTATTTCTTATTTCTGAAGACTTTGTGTAAGATTTTCTAAAGACTATAGAAATAGCAAGAAATGGTTTCTACAAGCCCAATTGTCAGTCTCAAGCAGACATCTTCCAGGCCAGCTTTGCCTCTCTTTTGCTCTGCTCTCAGTCACATGGTTCCTGTGCAGACTGAACCTAGAAGAATGGATGTTCTGTGTTTTGGTACATTCTAGACACATTCTATTCCTGATAGCATTTAACTTTTTTTCCAAAGATTAAGCTAATCCAAAGGCAGCTAGCAAAGAACATTAAATGATTATAGCAAGTAAATAATGAAGGTGAGTGGTAGGTGAACTGGAATTTCTTTTTTTTTAGTCAAAAAGAATATAACTTTAATATAAAAGTTATGGAGAATTTGAAACATGAAAAAGGAGATCCTCTTAAAGTTAATTTGCATATTTTGAAAGCACTAAGTAGCATTGTTACATGTACCATAGTGTTAAAGTGGAAGACTTAACTGAACATACTTTTTAGAAGCCAGAAAATATTTTTCTATGGAAAACAATTGATGTTTCTGCTCCTTCATTACATTCTGTTTTGGTGGTGCCATTGAAAGAGGGAAAGTTTGACCTACTCTTTTGTGTTATCTAGTTGGAAGAATTGTATTCTCTGTTTCTACAGCAGTTCCTATCCAAAACTTTGGTCAACCTTTAACTTGTAAATTCACTTTAGAAGGCCAATAACTGTGGGGATGTTAATTTATAGAACAACCCACCACAAAAGTTTTAACAGCTGTAGCCTGTAAATGAAGAGCAAGTTACCTAGTTAGTTAGATAAATGCTGTATTTAATAGAGGAGACCACTTAAAGAACTACTGAAAAACCTGAAGAGCTCACTTAGAAAATTAATTATATTTTGCTCTATCCTATTCCAAGGCATGTTTTTAGTTATAATTATTAAACAGGACATGGTGGCTTCAATGGGTTGTTTTAATTTTATACTTCAGAGTAACACAAAATGCGGTAGTTTGGGGTAAAAGAACAGAAGCTCCCAATTAGCCCTGCTAATTGCAAACACAGTTCATAGACTTATCACTATAGAAAAACTGATGTTATGTCACTGGAGCTTTACTTGACAGCTGTACCTGTCTCTGGAAAGCCTTCCATGGGTTCTAAGTGGCCTCACGTTCAGCAACAGCTAGCCCATTCACTACAGTTTCCTTCTATGATGTTGAGACGATCAACAACATTGAATGTTATTTTTACATTAACTGATTTTTAATGAAGTTACCATGTGCTCTTAATTGAAATCAAAATGATAAGGGAAATTCTGTCTGGGGGTGGGCGGGAATTCTACTGAAAATGATTTGTTGAAATTTATATATATGGAATTCCAAAGTGCAAATCTTCCATCTCTTTGGATATATGGAGACATTAAAAATTTTTTTCAATTAATTTAAAATTTGAATTTTTGATCTTTCAAATTTGTAAAATTCAAAAAAATTAAATTAACAAATGCTAATGGTGAATCTAGGGTATCTTTTTTGTTGCTTTTTAAAGGATAATTTAAAGCATCTTGAAGTAGCAAGTCTCTTCATGTTGTAGGATAGCAACATACCCAACTGTTTCCAAGAGGAATGATTCTTTTATTCTACCAAGTTTTGTTTGGTTACTTTGGTTCTATTATCAGTGAACTCATGCTGATAATGTCAAATATTGCTGTGTTTCTATAAAATGATGTACATTATCTTTGATTTCTAGTGCTTTCTTGCCCCCCCCCAAAAAAAAACAAAACAATAAAAGGAATGAACAAGCAGTTGCAACAACAGAAACCCCACATTCCCATTTAGCAGTACATCTCTGTGAAAGAGAAAGACTGCCAACTCTAAGCTTAACTGAAGTCAGAGAAAACTAGTAAATCATTCCAGGCATTTGAAATTATTAGACAGTAAACTTTTGGGAGATTTTTATATGAATTCTTTTTATAACAGTCAATATAATCTCTTCTGTGCCTATTTCCGTTGCATGTAAGAGAAATTCTAGTCAATGGCAAAACGCTTTACTGCTGCCATTACTGCAGACTTTATAGATCAGAGATGTGTCAGCATGTTGGCTTTAGCAGTAATGCCTCTTTTGTGTGAAACCTTATGGGCCTTGCAGGCACTCTCTCATCCTGACACTCATAAAATGTTCTAGTCCCATATTTATTATTTAATTTTCTTCCTATATATAGCAACGAAGCACTTCAATATATGAATGTGTAGCCAGAAAATGACAGGCAAGCGTGAATGGGACTAATGAGTTTTAATAATACACATATTAGGAACTGCTAAAGGAAGTTTAATTAAGAAAAACAAGTTGAGCATGAAATTCATTTTGGAACAAATGCAAGTTAAGTTAGTGCTACAGATGTAAAACCAAAAACCACAGTGATATATCATAGGAAATAAAGTTCCAGTCTGAGACTAGACCTAATGTACCTTGATGCAGATGCAGTTGACATCTCAGGACGTGGCTTTAAGTTGATGAGTTTAGATTTGATTTGTGAAGTAGGAAAAAAAATGTTTCATATATATATATATATATACACATATACACACACACACACATTTTTTAGAACACTTTTACTTTTCCCTGATTTGTGTAGCAATTTTTGTTAGAATTTTAATTCTGTATCCAGCCACACTTTTTGTACATAATACTAGTTCTCTTCTGACAGGACACACAGTAACTCTTTCTGTATTCTGCTTTTAATGTGACATATTCCTACAATTAGCACTACTCACTGGAGTCCATAGCTATCCGTTTGGATGGTGATTTAATAAGAAAACTGCATATCTATTAATTTATCTGTAACTATAATTCTATTTATTTTTTCATAATTTAGAAAATAAGTACATTATTTATTTGTTTGCTTATTTATTTTGTGGTAGCAGTTTTTTGAGGAGAGAGAAGTTGTGGAGAAGATAGACTATTAGGCAAATATTTCCTTAGGAATATGGTTTTCTTACATCTTTATCTAAATAACAGATAATCTTCTAGAAATAGTGAAGAAGTTGGCCAGTGAGGTGAAGGTCTCATATGTTCCTAACAGCTGCCTTTTGGAACACATTCAACTGATATAGTGACTTATTCTTTATACAGATGTGTTATCAGTTATGTATAATAGTAATGATTCTATTTTCCTTTTTGACCCAATCAATCCATGTTGGACTTTTAAGTGGAGGAAAGGTTAATTGCAATGTCTTACAGTGAAATGAAAATTCTTGTTGCTTTTCTTTACAGTGGTCATGGTGAAATGATTTCCTATGAAATCATTTCCTATGATCATATGAAATACTCACTATGCTTGGAAATTCCACAGGGTCACCAAGGGAATCAAGAAATACTGAT